AGGGACAACTGACATCTCTCGCTGCATTAAACTCACTGACTCTCAACTGCTTACTGCTCCAGCCACCTGAGCCCCTCTCTCATGCTACCCTGAATCAGTCACCATTTCCCAAACAACCTCTTGGCTACTGTGAACAGCGTCACAGCATATATGCTCACTCTCTCATTAGACAGTGAGATTTTACTCTAGCAAGGATCAGACTCCGAACAGCACATATTCATGCATCCTGAAATTGACCTGCTGTCTGAAACTGACTGGTCTTCACAACCTTCAACAATCAAGAAGAACTGAAGTCTGATAGGCTCTGTACTTACTTAATAAAGATGCTGTCAGTCCCCTTTTCAGTTCATTATCCTATCACCTGCACACAGGTTTTTAATGGTATAATTTATGGCATAAATACATTGCAAAAAGTGTTTCAACATACTTATAAAATTAACCCAACTCCAGTTGGAAACAGGTCTACAGGATGCTCCTCGCTCCCCACCTGGCACCTCAGACTTTTGGATTTGATGCCAGGAGTTACCCTGCTTTCTCTCAAGGAGTAAAAATGGTTGTACCCTCATGTTTTCTGACCCTCCGAAACATTCCCAGCCCATTGGGACTCTGCCATAACATTCTCAGGACGTGCCAGTCACTGGCCAATGCCAACTTATTGACCATTCCATAATAAAAATGCCAATTTGTTCATATTTGACAACTTCATGGCTCTTTGTAATGATAGCATCAGTTTCTCAAATGGCTGCCTTGGGATTTGAACTCCCATTCCACTGGAACGTTAAATAGTCCAGTCACATAACAACTGCATTACTTTCCCTTCCAAGGTTCCCGTAACACAAGAAAATAACCACAACACCACCATAACTTCAGTTTCCCATTTCCTTCTACGACTGTGCTACTCCACTGCTCTGGTGTCCTGACACCTTTGGTCCTTTTCTGATATTTGTGCTACATTTGACTATCCACTCCTTTTGGTCCCTTGAGCCTGTTTCACCATTCAATAAGATCAGGGCTGGTTGTGGTCTAAGCTCCACTTTCCTGCTTGCCCTCCATAGCCTTGACTCCCTGGTCTATTAAAAATCATAAGTTTAAAGGCCAATCCTCCTCTACTTGTGAGCAAGAGAATTATTTACTTTAACAACCCTCTGAGAGAAAACAATTCTCCACATTTCTGCCTTTAAAGTGGAGACATTTTGTCTTAAAATCTATCTCCTAGTTTTGTCTTCCACAGAAGAGGAAGTAGTTTCCAGGTATTCACTGTGTCGAGTTCCCTCAAGATCTTGTATATACCATTAAGATCACCTCTTGTACTTCTAAACTTCAAATGTACAGCCAGCTAACCCATTCAACCACTCTTGATCAGAAATGCCCATTGTTCCAGGAAAGGGTCATGTTACCCTACTGTGAACTGCTTCTAAGCAATTATATCTTTATTTCAAATCATGGAATCCCTACAAGTGCAGGAAGCAGGCCATTTGGCCCATCGAGTCCACACTGACCCTCCAAAGAGTATCCCACCCAGATCAACCCCTCTACCCTATCCCTGTGACCCTGCATATCCCCATGGCTAACCCACCTGGCCTGCACATCCCTGGACACTGTGGGGCAATTTACCATGGTCAATCCACCTAACCCGCACATCTTTGGAGTGTGGGAGGAAACCCACACAGACATGGGAGAACGTGCAAACTCCATACAGTCACCCAAGGGTGGAAGTAAACCCAGGTCCCTAGTGCTGTGAGGCAGCAGTGCTAACCACTGAGCCACCGTGCTGCCTTTAAAAATAAGGAAACCAAACCAGTACACAGTAGACCCAGAGATAGTAGGAACTGCAGATGCTGGAGAATCCGAGACAACAAGGTGCAGGGCTGGATGAACACAGCAGGCCAAGCAGCATCATAGGAGCAGAGAGGCTGACGTTTCGGGCCTAGACCCTTCATCAGAAAAGGGGGAGGGGAAGGGGGTTTTGAAATAAATAGGGAGAGAGTGGGAGGCGGACAGAAGAGGGATAGAGGAGAGGATAGGTGGAGAGGAAACAAACAGGTCGAAGAGGCGGGGATGGAGCCAGTAAAGGTGAGTGTAGGTAGGGAGTTAGGAAGGGGATAGGTCAGTCCAGGGAGGACGGACAGGTCAAGGGGGCGGGATGAGGTTGGTCGGTAGGAGATGGAGGTGCGGCTTGAGGTGGGAGGAGGGGATAGGTGGGAGGAAGAACAGGTTAGGGAGGCAGGGACAAGCTGGACTGGTTTTGGGATGTGGTGGGGGGAGGGGAGATTTTGAAACTTGTGAAATCCACATTGATACCATTGGGCTGCAGGGTTCCCAAGCGGAATATGAGTTGCTGTTCCTGCAACCTTCGGGTGGCATCGTTGTGGCACTGCAGGAGGCCCAGGATGGACATGTCATCTGAGGAATGGGAGGGGGAGTTGAAATGGTTCGCGACTGGGAGGTGCAGTTGTTTGTTGCGAACCGAGCGTAGGTGTTCTGCAAAGCGGTCCCCGAGTCTCCGCTTGGTTTCCCCGATGTAGAGGAAGCCACACCGGGTACAGCGGATGCAGTATACCACATTGGCAGATGTGCAGGTGAACATCTGCTTGATGTGGAAAGTCTTCTTGGGGCCTGGGATGGGGGTGAGGGAGGAGGTATGGGGGCAGGTGTAGCACTTCCTGCGGTTGCAGGGAAAAGTGCCGGGTGTGGTGGAGCTGGAGGGGAGTGTGGAGCGGACAAGGGAGTCACGGAGAGAGTTGTCCCTCCGGAAAGCCCTTGGCCTTTGGGATCATTCTCACTGCAGCCCCGCAGGGAGTGCAGAGAAAAAGCGAGGAAACAGAATGGATATCTGAATCCTGGCCTTCAACTGGGGATTTCTGCAGAGTTTCTTTGATGGTCTGGGATGGTGGGTAGAGGGCAATGGTGTGGAAGAAACCTCAAACCCCTCCCTAAAAAACCACCAATACCTTTAGGAGCAGGGCCCCAGAGTCTTGGCTGATCTTCAAAAGATTGACATGCCAAGATGAAGGAGAGATGTGATGGATCACGGAGAACAGTCTTGGGAGGGGCTTTGGCCAGGAACGATGACCTGTAACCTCCAAAATGTTTAAGGTATTTCACAAGATGCATTTATTTAATGTAGCCTCCTTTCAAAGGGACTCTAGATGTTTCTTTTAAAGGGGCTCCCCAACTATCCCTCAAACTAATACCTTAATATTCACCAAGTCCTTTAGAGTAGGAAATCTGCCATCTTTGCCTGGCCTGACCTGCATATGACTCTGAACCCACAGCAATGTGATTGCATTGTAACGGTGTCTCCGGGCAATTAGAGATGGGAAATAAATGCTGGTCTAGCTGGTGGCACCCACATCCAATGAACGAATATATATATTAAAAAAAACAAGCCCACATGCTGTCACCAGGCCTTCTGCTGTGTGGGGCAAGAAAGATACCCTAAGCGAGGTGACACAACAGCCCACTCAATTTACCCCATCCACCTCAGTGAACTCAGTACCAAATGTTACAACCCTGCATGGTGTAAGGGCCAGAATCACAGCCCGATGACACAGCCAGAGAAATTTCTGTATCCCTGGGACTCCTGTACAAAATAAAACCCAATAAAACTATGCAGATATTGAGATGTCCTGGAATACCCTTTTCCCCTGCCTGGTCTTGTTATGTTAATATTGATCCTGGCTCTGGGGCAGAGGTAACTGATCGCAGTGTGCTGAATGGAGATAATGGTACTACAGTTGGCTTCAGAACCACTGCTTCAGAGAAGTGAGCAACTTCCTGTTTTGTAAGTTATGTCGGATTAATGTGTGTATGTGTGGGGATTCCGTTTGAAAATAGGGAAGAAGTAAAATTTCTTTAAAATGCAGCAGCTGGCCAGAATAGCAGGTCAACCCATTGTCTGGCTGCCATACAATAAGAATAAGCTTTTGGGTCAGCTACCATACAGTGTTCCACACCCAAAGACCTGGATTCAATGACTTTAGGACAGGAGGGGGTGGGGAGAAATATAGAAGGGTGACAATTTACCAGCCTGCAAGTTACCTCTCGTGTTGTGCCCCCAAGTTAACTTCACCACTGACCTGCCAAAGAATACAGCAAAAGTACGCTCCACCTAGATGTGGAAGGTAGGGTTCTCACCTGGATACCCTGCAAACCTCTGGCTACTTCAGGCACACTAACCCCTGCTAATAAAAGAAGGCAAATCGGGTCTCAGGGACAGGAAGAGGCCATTCTGCTTCTCTAGTCTATCCCAGCATTCAATCAGATTGTGAGTTGGGATCAACTCCATTCTGTAACCCAGAGGTCTGTAAACATTCTTTGAGTCTGTTTAAGGTACAGATGAATAGATTTCTGTTTACCAATGTCATACAGGGTTATAAAGTAAAGGGCATGACTGTACTGAATGGTGGGGCAAGCTCAACAGGTTGGACAGTCTACTCCCATTCCTATGATTCTGTTTATCTGTTGAATGGCCAAAGAAAAACACCTATTGATTTTAGTATTGAAAGTTCCAATTCTTCCTGCAAACCACAGCCTTCTGGAGGAGAAAATTGCAAATAGCCACTGCTACTTTTGTGAAAAAGTGCTTCCTGATTTCACTCTTGGGTGATCCAACTCTAGTTTCAAGGTTGCACCTCCTTGCTTTGAGCTCCTCCACCAGAGGAAATGGTTTCTTCGGAATGTAACACTGTTCCATTCCTTTAACATCTCATTAGATCTCCTTCATCCATCTGAGTGCTACGGGTTTGGAGACAAGTCGGTGCAACCCGTTCATTTAAACTTTTAGCTCTTGTTATCATTTCTGGCAAATCTACGCTGTGTCCCACAACAAAAAGAAAAGCATAGTGCCACTGGTGGTCAAACCAGTGCCAATTCCATCTCCTCATTCTATGAGTGACCATGTGGCAAAGGTGCCAAAAACCATTTACCAGCTGATCACAGACACTTGCACAGGGGTCAGTGGCAGAGGCCAGTGGTGGAGCAGAATTATGCCAGTGCAGCTAAGCCAAGGGGCTTTGGACCTGATGCATTCTCTTACCATGTAGTGAAGGGTTTGTTGTTGCGGAACCAAACCGCAAAGGTGCCATAGCAGTCTTCACCTTGTGACCTGTGAACCTCACTGTAACAAGGGCATAGGGTAGGCATTGCCTTGGATATTCCATCGTCTTACAGAATGCATCAAACTCATACAAGTACACCTAAAGACAGTGCATAAAATAACAGGAATGTTACTGAATCCAGTGTTTCAACAACAGAATTCCCTCATTGTGCCAGTGACTGAGAAGATTTCACATGTCACTATTACTTAAGGGAGTAGCTGTCAGTGCAACAATATTTGTGTTGTAAGATATTGGAATATGTCATTAAAGACTGGGAGCAGAATATGTACAGGTTGCTTAGGAAGTACAGACTGTGTTTGCAAGGTAGGCTGGCAAATAACATTGAAAGGCTGCAGCAAGGACACTTTACAGGGAAAGGCCCTCAGATCATTGTTTCCCAGAGCTACTCATTTGCCTTCTTAGCACTTATTCACCTAGTGTCTACTTGCATGCTCGCAGTATCCCTGACTTGCCTTGCCTTGCCTGTTAACCTTTGGCTCTGACTGTACTGCCATATTGATGTATTTTTTTGCGCAGACACAGGGGACCTGTTATGCTGGTTATTTGAGGTCTATATGGGGTTTGTCTTTTTGGATGGAACAGTGAGACGTCAATCTAACACCTACAGCATGTGCCAGCTTCCAGAGCGGCAACTGGACTGTGCATTTATTCAATAACATGACCATGTGGGGGCAAGTCCTCAGTTTGGTAGGTGGGATGGTCACTGGCTTTCAGGGACCATCAGCCATGGGTGCAGTCCAAGAACGGTCAAGGGGCTTGGCCATGGTCAGTCGTTTGCTCAGGCTGGGCATGGGCAGGGCATCTGTCCAACTACAGTCCTGGGGGCATGTCAGTGGTCAGTTCTGTCAGGGGAATTTCATATTGTCAGTAAGGGAGCTACAGGTATCTGGTCAGTCATGACTAGAGGCTGCTTGTCAAAGTAGGTCAGAGGTTCAGGCTTAATTGGGATCACTGTCAAAAGGGGTTATGGTTAGGGAGAGTCACGGGGGTGGGAAGCAGAGGTATGTGCAGCATGTATATCACTACATCATATATCATGAAATTATGAGAGTGAACTACACTGAATCCAATGATATGTTTCATGGTTGATTCAGGTCTGGGATGGGAAGGTGCTGCAAACACTTCCCTTTTTGATGCAATATGTTGGTCACTCAGTCGGCATGGTGTCTTCACCAAGTTGGTGCCCATGCTGTGACCAGGGTAGATGTGGAACAGACAATGGTACTACTGAAACTGTGGTTTCACTGCTTGGACTGGTCTGGTGGGTGCCCTCCAGTATAGCCCACAATAGAGTGTGCCTCATCATCCTGGTGTGTTGGAGCCTGATGGACTGGATGCCGAGGAACTAGGGAACAAGAGCAGCCTTCTGAGGACTCCAGGGAGGAGGAAGCTCTCCCTGTCCATGACATAGCTGAGTGGTGAGTTGTTCCCAGAACTCGTGTGTTAAGCTGGGGCTAGAATTGAATGTGAGGGATGCCATCTGGATAGAGTGCATAGTTAATGAGGCCAGTTTGGTAAGATATGGTGAGAAATCTTGCTAGGCTTTACGGTGAAGAGCCTGCCAAAAAAAACTCGGTGAAATTCACCCTTACCCAGGGTGGCTAAACAAAGAGAATCAGCATGGATTTGTGATTGGTCAGTCATCTCTGATTCACCTGGTTGAAGCTTTTGGTTGAGGCTATCACTGAGGCTGTGAACATACAAATGACAATGTCAACGCCTTATAAAAACCTCTACAGAAGTTTTGAAATGACAGCCTGTTAGATATACTTTTGGAACCATTTGATGTCACATCTGTAGTGGGACACTCGCTATTTTTGAATCTGGTGCCGTACTCTATATTTTAATGTGTTTGAGATGCGTGTGAGCTAAGTGAGTTACTCACTGCTGAGCTGATTGGGTTTAGAAGCCAGAACTCACCGCTGAGTTGATGATCTGCATCTCAATTGAGTCCTTGAGGTTGGGTGGAATTTGGGACATATGACAGTCAAACTTTGCTGTAGGGTCCACTTCAGCCTTCCCCTTTCTCATGCACGGTGGAATTGTCCTCACTTTTCCTAATAGTACCTTCAAAACCAGGAGGGCATTTTCAAAAGTTAGTTGGTGTAAAACAGCTCACCAATTTCTATTTTTGACATATACGCAACAGCAAAAATAATTCTCCCCTCAAGAGGTGTCAGCATGAGGGGGAGATTCCTGGTTCTTAACACCCACATGAACAGTCGTCCTAATCGCATGTGCCATGTCCGGCTGGCACACACAGCATCTGATTCCAATACGGGGTGTGATACAGGAGCCACTCAGCATCAGGGGGAGATGAGTCTCTCTCATTTACAATCTCACGACCTCTCTCTCTCATGCACAATCTCATTATCTCTCTCATGCATGATCTAGATTTCACTGCTTTGTCCAAAGGGATCATGGGATATGGGAGGAGGGTGGGACGAGGGAATTGAGGTCAATGATCAGCCTTGATCATACTGAATGGCAGAGCAGGCTCATGGGGTTGAACGACCTACACCTGCTCCTATCTTCTATGTTTCTATGCAATGTCGCCAGTTTAACTGATAAGACCGCACAGGGTTGGAGAGAAAGATGTGGGGGCGACCAAATAGGCTGGAAACAGATATAGATGGGTTGACTGAGTGGGCAAGCTTTGGCAGACGGAATATGGTATGGAAAAATGTCCATTTGTGGCAGAGATTTACAAACTAACTCAGTGACACATTAAAATCCCCATTCCCTGACCAGTCCACACTTCCAGACCCAGTGAGGTTTTGTCCCTGAGGGAGGGCAGTTTTCTGACTGGATATTATAACATTGCAATAGTAAGGTGCTGAGTGTAACAGAGTTTGCGAAATCCCATATCTTCTCCTTTACTGTCTGTATGTGTGAATTATATTTAAAAGGTTGGCAGATGGAATATAATGTGGTGAAATGTGATTCACATTTGTAAGAAGAGAAATAAAGCCAGAATTTTTGGGTTTAAAAGGGTGAGAAATTATTCAATATTATTGTCTGGGGGGTTAAGCTGATCTTATATACAAATACTGGAAAATTAACATGATGGTAAAGCCAACAAGTAGGAGGACAAATTGGTTCGTATGTGAAATGAACCACCAGAGGAAGTGGTCGATGCAGGTACAGTTACAACATTTAAAAGATATTTGGACAGGTACATGAATAGGAAAGGTTTAGAGGGAAATAGGCCAAGTGCCGGCAAATAGGATTGGTTTACTTTGGGAAACACAGTCGGTATGGACTGAAGGTCTGTTTCTGTGCTGTCTGACACTATGCCTCTAGACTCTATAACATTAACTACCGCAGAAGCTTCACAAGCAAACACAGAGAATACTGGAGAAATTCAGCAGGTCTGGCAGCATCTGTGGAGAGAGGAGTAAACAGAGTTCACGTTTCAAGTCTGGCATGACTTTTCTTCAGAATGCTTCAGAACAATGGCAGGTTCTACCTCACAGAAGCTTTGCAACCTTGGCTGGATGAGAAATGGGCTTTCATAAAATAAAATAAAACAGTATGTTTTGATTTTCCATCATATAGATGCCACTTTCACACAGAGAATAGCGGACTTTGCTCTGGATTGCAATTCTACATTTTATTATGCCTTTACTCCTGAAGCTAGCTGTGTCTGGAATTTTGGTCGTAAATTCTCCAGAGTCATGAGAAGATCCATATTGGCATTTCACTGCAGCACAGAGGGTGTAGTGCATTGTCAGAGATGCTGACTTTCAGGGGATATGTTCCACAATGGACTTGATTGGCCTCACAGATGGACAAAAATAAAAATTCCCATGATTCAATCTGGAGAAGAACAGGGAAGCTTAACTGGCATCCTATCCAATATTCAATTCTTAATTGAAACAGATTATCACATTGTGAAGCATCTTGTTGCTCTGAAACATTTCAGATTGATGCAAGTTCTTTCTATTCTTTACAGTCCAACCCAAAAACAATCAAGGGGTGATAGAAAAATCTGGGTGCTGCAGCTTAGTGGTTGTGGCACTGCATTAACAATCCTGAGGTTGTGTGTTGTAGAAACACAGAACTCGGGAGCTGGAACAGGCCATTTGGTTCCTTCACATCTGCTCCACCACTTAATAATATCATGGCTGATCTGATTGTGGTCTCCACTTTCTGATCTGGCCCGTATAACCCTTGACTCTGTTGTCTGTCAAAAATTCATTCGATTCAGCCATGAAGAAGTTCAATAGTCCAGCCTCCGCTGCTTTCTGGGGAAGGCAATTCCACTGACTAATGGCTGTCTGAGAGGAAAAACATCCTCATTGCTATCATCTTTTTAAGATGTGTTTGTAGCATGTTCATAATCTCACGATGGCAAATTCTGACATTGTAATTTTATCTGCTCACCTAGGACCAGGAATAAGTAATTCAACCCCTCAAAGCTTTTCCTCCATTCATAGAATCCTTACAGGGTGGAAGCAGGCCCTTAGGCCCAACAAGTCCACATCGACCCTCAGAGCATCCCAGCCAGACCCATCCCCCTCTATAACCCACCTAATCTACACATCCCTGGACACTATAGGCAATTTATCATGGCCAATCCACCCAGCCTGCACATCTTTGGACCGTGGGAGGAAACCGGAGCACAGCCACGCAGACACGGGGAGAATGTGCAAACTCCACACAGACAGTCACCTGAGGGCGGGATCGAACCCGGGCCCCTGGCGCTGTGAGGCAGCAGTACTAACCACTGAGCCACCGTGCCACCCTTCAATGAGATTACAGCTGATTTGTATCTCAATTCCGTGCACTAGGTTTGGACTAATATGGAAGCACAACTGGTCGGTTTTGGGATAGCAGCCAACTTAAGTTTTGATCTGTAGACCTGTGCAGACACCACTAGACAGCCATCTTGAAGTAGTCCCTGTTTCTCAACAGAGATACACAGGAAGGATATCGGGTTTACTGGATTGAATCAGGCTACCAAAAGCCACAAACAAGCTTGGGGCAACTGCTGCCAAGGCACAGTTGGGAAAGGCTGCCATCTTTCGGCCAAAGTACATTGGGGGTCCGTTCAGTTATTGAACCCTCCTGCCTCAAATAGTATCTTGCATAACGTAAGAAATGCCTTTGGGTTTGTTGGAACTGTCGGGAAAGTCAAACTCCAATGTTTACTTGTTCTCCATATGCTAATACTGTACAAAATCAAACTGCTCTAGTAAAGATTTTTATGAATAAATGTATTTTTGGCATTAAAAAAGCACAATAAAGCAGCTTTCATACACTCCCAAAACCTATTCTGTTTAGTTTCCTCATAGGAGCAACATCAAACTATTCAACTACAGGAACAATCATAGCTACAGAATTCTGTCAAGTTTTCAACACCTTCACTTCAGAAAGAGAATCTTCAAAGGAAATAAGAGACCCACAACAATCTTAAAGGGTTATTTCACTGTTATCTTTATGAGTATCTTTTATCAGTAGCTGCTTTTAAATCTTTGTACATGTATGTTTAGCTAATGGCCATATCGCTTTTACTTAAATAATGAAAAGCAGTTTTGCAACAAACAAACCATTATCCTATTGGAGCATGAAGCTGCTGGTCATTTTGTAACGAAACACTTGAAAACTATAGGGTTCTGTTTAGTTACTGGACCCTCCTGATACATGTAAATATAATCTTGTACAAGTAACAAAAAAAGCCTTTAGTCTGTTTGCTGGATAGAGTCAAATTCCAACAGTTGCCTGTTTCTTCATATGTACTGTACAGAACTGAATGGCTTTTGTGACTATATATGTACATAAATTTTTTTTTATTAATGAAGTATATTTCTGAAATTAAAAATTACCTGAAAACCAAAAGAGAAAACAATCTTACACAAATTTGTTGGCTCACACAGTGCTTTGAGAATATGCTCAGCATATGGTTGTGGCATTATGTTCAATTTCTCCAGCTATAAAGGCAGACATTCTCACTCTATCAGCATTCTATTGTTTTCTGAGATAGTAGGAACTGCCGATGCTGGAGAATCTGAGATAACAAGGTGTAGAGCTGGATGAACACAGCAGGCCAGGTAGCATCAGAGGAGCAGGAAAGCTGATGTTTCGGGTCTGGACCCTTCTTCAGAGATCCCCAGACCAGAAACATCAGCTTTCCTGCTCCTCTGATGCTGCTTGGCCTATTGTTTTCTCTCTCCTCATGTGTTGACTTAACCCTTGCAGGTATCTGTGATATCTAACTTGACCACTCCACATGAAGGCAAGTTCCATATTCCCACCACTCCTGAGTAAAGGACAGAAATCACAGGACACCAGGGTACAGTCCAACGGGTTTATTTGAAAACACAAGCTTTTGGAGCCTCGCTCCTTCTTCAGGTGTTAACGAGAGAGGTGGCATCAGACACAGAATTTGTAAGTAAAAGATCAAAGGGACACACCCAGTCTACCTCCTCAGTAAAGGCATTTCTCCTGCATTGTTTGGTGGATTTATTGCTATAATGTATTTACAAGCGCCCACAAAAGGGACACGTTATTATTGTCGCTAATCAGACTAAGTAGATACATTCACACCAAAAACAAAGTTGCTGGAACAGGTTCTGAGGAAGGGTCACCGGACCGGAAACGTTAACTCTGTTTTTGTCTTCACAGATGCTGCCAGACAGGCTGAGCTTTTCTAGCAACTTCTGTTTTTGTTCCTGATTTACAGCATCTGCAGCTCTTTCGGTTTTTGTTTAAGTAGATGGCTTGCTTGAGCAGAGCCCCAGTAAGCACCAGTTGATGTGAACACTCCTCGAACCTGCACAGCTCCCTAAAAGAGAAGCAAGTTGAAAGAAGTTGCCTTTGTACTGAGTTTAAAAGTCAGCTGTTCTAATGAGGTGAGCAGTACAGGAGGCTGTCGACAACAATCACTATAATGTGCTGAAAAGGTGCAAAGCTCAACTGGAGAGCTGTGCTGATGGATGGTCGCAGAGAGTAAGTGACAGCAGAAATACGGAAGGTTGTGTTTTAGAAAAAGAGCAATTTCTTAGTTTCTAAATAAAGTCAGAAAATATGAATCCTAATATCACAGTGGAATAGAATCATACACTACTAAGAATCTGCTTAAAATCCATCTCTCACCTTGAAAAACACAATTGTTTCTGTGAGCAGATTGTTTTGCTGATGGTACTTCAGAAGGACATCAATATGCCGATGAAGATAAACACCGCAAGCTGGATTTCCCAGTGCTCTCATGGCAGAACAGTTAATGTTCAGTCCTTCCTGATATAGTTTCAAAGCTGCACTGTGGGACGTCACCAAAAACAATGTGTTTTCTTCAAGCTCTTTCCCACGTCTACCAGTTTCACGCATCTTAGCCCTGGGTGTTAAAAAAAGATTACGTTTCAAAAGCTGTTTGAAATACAATGCAATCACCACAGGATTAAGAGTCGAAGTCAAATGGATTTAAAACCCCATCCTCTTCTCCTGCCATCCTCTGAAAAATTGCTGAGGTCCATTTCAAAAAATGGCTGCCCTTTAACTAATAGCTTAATTTCACATGTACAGCAAGTCGGTGAGTGTTTGCAGAATGTTTAACTGTGTCAGCATCACATAGGGGCATAGGAAATAGGTGCATAAGCAGGCCATTCGGCCTGTCAATCCATCTCTGCTATGCTACTAGATCATGGCCAATCTTCTTTCACAAGGCCATTTCCCCTTACAGGGTGCTTGTCTTCATTAGTTGGGGCACAGAATACAGGAACTTTATAAAACATTGATGGAATACTGTGTGCAGTTCTGGTTGCTACAGTATGAAAAAGACAAGATTACACAGCTGAGGGTGCAGAGAAGATTCACCTGGATATAGCCTGGGATGAAAAAACTCAGTTATGAGGAGAGACTGGATAGACTGGGTTTGTTACCCATATGGTAGAGGCGGCTTGGAGGTGGGGGAGAGGGGTGGTGGTACTCTGAAAGAGGTATACAAAATTAGGAGAGGCACAGAAAGGATAGATTGTGAGAATCTTTTCCTCATGGCAGTCTTGCCTACGACCAGAGGGCACAATTTTAAGGTGAGGCGTAAGTGGTTTAGAGGAGATCTGAGAAAAAAACTTTCACCCAGAGGGTGGTAGAAACATGAAGCACACTGCCTGAGAGGGTGGTGGAGATAGATACTCTTGCAACATTTAAGAAGCATCCGGATGAGCACTCAAAATGCCTGAGCATTGTAGGCTACTGGCCAAGAGTGGTGTAGCTTGGTGTTTGTTAATCGGCATAGAAATAGTGGGCCGAAGGGCCTGTTTCTATGCTGTGTGACTGTATAACTCTCTGATCTAAGGTTCACTTGGCTGATTCCTGGGATGAAAGCCTTTTTTCTTATGTGGAAAGGTTGGACCTATACTCAATGGAAGTTTGAAGAATAGTGATTTTATTGAAACAAATAAGATTCTGAGGAGTTTTGATAGAATAGAAGCTGGGAAGATGATTCCTCTCATGAGGGTGCCTGGAATGAGCGGGCACAATCTTAAAATAATGGGGGCACCTACTTAAAATGTAGATGAGGGGGAATTTCTTCACTCAGAGAGCCGTTAGTGTTTGGAATTCTCTTCCTCCGAGAACAGTGGATGCAGGGTCATTGGATGAATTAGACAGGAAAGTAGGGTGATTTTCAAAAGTTAAAACTAAAAACCCATTGCAAAGTCAAAGGGAGCGTGGAGCTCTGTGGTGATTGACACATTGGACAATCAATGGCAGGAGTCAGAGGGTGGGGCAGTTGAAGGTCGGAGGTCATGTGATGTCATCTCTCAGTATGTCTCCAAGCAGAGTTGGGATCATTATTTCTTGGCTCCTGATTTGTTAAGTGCCCAATCAATTTAATTTTAACCCAATACCTTGCCCCCTGGAACCACTTTCAGGCCTTCAAGAAACTATTTGAATCCTGCTTTCACGTGCTACAGTTTTATAAACTGCATGCTCCACCACTTTTGTATAAACAACAAGATGCATTAAGGCTACAGTAAATATGAATTAGTAACTCAGAAGAAGACTTGTCTCCACCTGGTCAATGCCTTGAACCAGATGTGCAATCCCAATGCTGACCCTCACTCTCCCAGGCAATAAGTCCAAACCATCACCCATCACACCACAGCCAACTTGTACACACAGCTCATTTCCAACAGGCCTTCCCTATTGGTGAGAATGATCTTAATCAAATTGCAAAGGCAATTATTACCAGTACCGCCTTCCATCTGTGACTTCACTCCTGATTGGCTGTAGCCTTCTGTCACTTAATAACGTGCAGTCGGATTGGCTGCTGCCCTGCCGTCAAGTGGAGGTGGACTCCATTACAAAACATCAAAAGGGTTGGCCTTGATTCCCAGAGTATGGTAGAGTTAAAGTGGCGGGGCCCTCATGGAATTGAAAGCTTGGATGCTCCAGCCTTCTGGAGAAAGGTGGTAGGACACTAGGTCACTAAGGGCATAATCTGGGGTGGAACTGGACGAACTGAAAGACTAGTGGCCTTATTGACATGGGAGTCAAAGGTTATGGGGGGGCAGGCAGAAAAGAAGAGTTCAAGCTACAGGTCAACTCTGATTTGAGTGAGTGATGGAGAAGGCTCAAGGGCCAAATAGCATCCTCCTGTTCCTATTTCTTAATGCCTTATGAGACCCTCCCAACCTTATCAAAAGGGTGTCAATGGACGAAGGCCAGAAATAGAATCCCCTTTCCTAACCCAGGACTTTCTCCTGGCAATCTTCCCTGCTTCTGACTCCATCCAGAGTCCCAGAGCCTGAGGTCGATATAATAATTTGGCAGATGTCCACCAGCTGTGGAACACCAAAGGAGTATAAGCCAGTGAGACAGAGACACTGGGACATCACATGTTCCACTGCTAAGATGGACCGTCTGGGGCCTGGGGACTGGCCAAATGAAATTGGCCATCAAACATTTAGACTCTCACCCAGGATACATTACATTTTCATTTTTCTAAATCCCAGGAAAACCTTCCTAGCCCTTCTCATGCTTGTGGCCAGTGGATATGGATCAGGCTGGGCTTAAACACATCTTACTGGGTACTGGCAGTCTGACGAAAGATACAAACAGATGCAAAACAGATGAGCAGAAGCAGCATCCATCCATATACCTCACCCTTGCCCCATCCTCAACTGCGAGTGTACTTTTAGAGGGAAATCCATTGTAACCTCAGATTTGACCCCAATCTGTACACATAGCTCTCCAGAAGCATGCAATAGTTTTGCCCAGAACATGAACGAGTTTTGAACCGTGATTACCGCTCCATACTTACCTCTTCTCTGCAAATCGCCGCTCGAGTTTCACATTATGTATGAGCTTCATGTCCCCAAGCCTCCACAGGGAGTTCAAACTGTAACTGCTGTCAAGTTTGGACCCATCTAAAGTTGACTGTAAGAAGCTGTACTCGCGCCAATCCGTATGACAAATTTCTAAGTAAGCTTGGGAAGCAAGAAGTAATTGGTGTTAATCCAAATGGGACAAACAGAGTCGATGCAGCAGCAGCGAGGGGAGTGACCTTTTCACTCGGTGATTGGGGTCCCATCCACCATCACAACCATTCACTCGATCCGCCAGAAGTTTGCCTGAGCTTCAGTGTGTACAATCTACAAGATGCCACATCACAAACTGCTGAGGCTTCCTGCACTTCCTTAATCTCTTACCTCCACCAGCTAGAAGGACCGAAAGAACGGTGGCTCAGTGGTTAGCACCTCTGCCTTCCAGCGCCAGGGACCTGGGTTCGATTCCACCCTCAGGTGACTGTCTGTGTAGAATTTGTGCATTCTCCCCGTGTCTGTGTAGGTTTCCTCCCACAGTCCAAACCTGTGCAGGTTAGTTGGATTGGCCATGCTAAATTGTGTCGGCTTGGTAGGTTATTTTTGATAAATGCAGGTGTTACTGCAATTGGGCGTGTGCACTGGGTCTGGGTGGGATGCTCTTCAGAGGGTCAGTGTAGGTTCAATGGGCCGAACAGCCTCAAGGATACTATGATTCTAAGCTGTGCAGCAAATGCATGGGAACACCACCACCTTTAATTTACACACCATCCCAATGGGGGTGAAGAACTTTTTTTTTTCTAATTCCCTGTTATTTCCCAATGTGAATGTTGGATTTCTTGACTTGGAAAGGGCCAAAATCTATTTTTCTAGTCAATTTGTAAAACAGAATTCGGGGTTGTTTGTGGGATGGCATCATGGATAGAGGTCAAAGAAGCTGCTGGTTCTCTAACGTTCTACAAGAAATGAGTCTTTAGCCCTACCCAGGCTGCACCTCACTCATGGTATGTGCACAAGTCTTGACCTTCCAAGGCGGCCCTACGATCCATTCAGTTATCACACCAGCCAGGGATGGTGACTAAACAGAGCATTCTGAGAGCAAACAAAAACAGTTAAAGTTTCACTTTTTGGCACAAATATCCTTTTCACCACTTACCTTTGTCGGCACTCTTTTTCCTGGGGATTGTGAACTTTTTCAAACTATTTAAATTTGGGTTGACATTCTTGCTGTTTGGTTCCATTCCTCATCGTTTTTATGATGCACTAAATAAAAGAAGAGTTCAATAGAGGAAATGATGTTGGAAACAATTGTCATGGACGCTGAATGAAGCACATGAGCAAACGTAAAGTGGAGAACCATGGGTCTGTAATGCTTGATGAAAGTTTTGTGAAGTTATCGCAATAACTCCTCCCATTGACCTGTCCCTCAATTTACTGTCCCCGAGCTATAATTCTTATGAAGACTTCTGACATTGTTTGTTTTACGTAAAACAGGAATAATGTTGTTGCCAGTGAAAAGTACTTTAAAAAATCCTAGTAATGGGAATGATACAAACTCTTAAAACCACTAACTAACTACCTGGACTATTACCATAAAATCCCCCTTTTGCTCCAAGCTGGCACCTAAACTGACAGACAAAAGGTTAGTAGATGGATATTAGGTTAAAGATAGAAAGAGAGAAAGATGGTAAGCCACATGGTTGGACTCAGAGTATTTGAATCTCAGACGAGCAGTTCCAACCTCTGGATGTGCTAAATCCCTTGGAGGATCTCTATGACAGTTTGGTGAGGGAAGAGCTGAAGGCTTTGATAGAGTTACTGAGTTGGGTTCCTTCTTCTGGGCAGTACCCTGTGGTACCCCACCAATCAGACACTCACGATATGGCTCCTCATTGAAAACAGTCTTCCAGTTTGATCTTTACTGCTCCAATCACAGTTATCTGTTCTCTGCTTCAAACAGTGTCCCTGTGATTCCCTACCAAGGGGGCACTCACCATGCTGCTCCTCTCTGGGAGCAATCCTTTCTCAGACCTCACTGCTCAAGCTCAAACAGGGCTGTGGGGTTCGGATTTACAGCTCCAGCCCTTGTCTTTTTTTCCCCTCCTGTTATTCCTGGTAGTTCTGTATCTGTCGTGAGGTCAGCCAGTTAAACTCCCTCTTAGTTTTGGTTGGCTTTCTGCAGTGTGGATCTGAGGAGAGGGTTGGTAACAGATCAGTAGACAGTCTGATCCATGCTGATTCCTTAAGTGTGGAGCTGGAAAAGCAGAGCAGGTCAGGCAGCATCCGAGGAGCAGGAAAGTCAATGTTTCAATCTGAAACAGTGACTTCCCTGCTCCTCAGATGCTGCCTGACCTGATCTGCTTTTCCAGCTCCAGGTTTATTGACTCCAGCTTCCAGCATCTGCAGTCCTTAGTGTCTCCATGCTGATTGCCCTAGGTTAATTCCCCACCGAGGGGGAATCGCTGACTGTATCATGAACCTCATACAGAATCCCAGTTTTTTCCTATAATTTAGTTTTAAAATTAATCTGAGAAGTTAGTTATTGAAGGAAAATTTAGAAAGAACAAAGAGGGTTATAACACAATCAATGCAAATTTCTAACTGTTTCCTAGCAGAATTTGTCTACATTACAGCAGCAATGGCAAGGCGTCAATATTATGTTGGTATTATTAGTGGACTAGTAATTGAGAATTACTAGAATGTTCCTTAGATCTGATATTCAACTGATTAATAGATAGTTGTTTGGTTGTACAGGACCTGAGTTCTACAGAAAAAGAAATTGCTAAATAATTCCAATTGTGCTCAGAATTACTTTGATAACAAATTTAAAGTTGTCAGTTAGATTTGCAGTATCAAGCATTTGTGCACACTGGAAGTGTCATGATCCCAGAGTGAAATCTGTCTTGATAGATCATAAACCTAATTTTTGCAGATGGTTCCTGGTCATTGAAACATTTTCACACAAGGCTGCAAATGATCTTCAAACAAATGTTTATTACTCAAAAGAATAAAAACTAAACCATGCTATATAGTTTTGAAAGAAGTTAAACAGCAAAATAAAGTTTCAAATTATTTTCCAAAAATACACTTTACATATATTCAATCCCAGAAAAATATCACTCCTCTCTCAACTCTTTAATTTCTTACTCAATTGACTTTTTCTAAATGTCCCCCTTGGACTGCTGAGACAGTTTTACAACTTCCTTCTGAGCCTGCTGCATGATACGTTTTCAATTATGATGGGCAAAATCTCTTTTCAGTTCTAACAATTTGCATGCACAAACTCTCACAGCTTGGAAGTGCCACAAAACTAAAACCATTTTTGTTAGGGGTGTTAGGTACCCCTAATCTAAAGACTTGCATCCCTTAATAGGAAGAAATTAGTTGCACATCTGAATGAACTCCTTTATCTTCTAAATAAAAACTGGAAGAAATGCAGATGCTGTAAACCAGAAACAAAAACAGGAATTGCTGGAAAAGCTCAGCAGGTCTGGCAGCATCCGTGGAGAGGAATCAGAGTTAATGTTTTGGGTCCAGTGACCTTTCCTCGCAGTTCTGGCGTCACAACGACGCCACCTGGAAACTGGAGGAGCAGCACCTCATATTCCGCCTTGGGAGCCTACAACCCAATGGGTCTCAATGTGGACTTCACTAGCTTCAAAATCTCCCCACCCCCAGCCTCATCCCATGACCAACCCTCTCTCTCATCCCCGCCTCCTTGACCTGACACAACCTGTCCATCTTCTCTCCCACCTGTCCGCCCCTCCCACTTCACTGACCAATCCCCACCACTACCTCCTGCACTCACCTATCACCATCCCACCTACCTTCCCCAGCCTGACACCCCCCTCTATTTATTTCAGAGCTCCCTTTCCCTCCCCCATTTCTGAAGAAGGGTCCCAACCCAAAACATCAGCTTTCCCTGCTCCTCTGATGCTGCGTGGCCTGCTGTGTTCCTCCAGCTCCACATTGTGTCACTACAATAATACAATTGCCCAAAAACTGGCTTAGGTTCTGAAGTCTATCTAATCCGCATATGTAATGTAAATTTTAATTAAAGTTGAGGAAAAGGTGGGGAGCGTGCCTGTCCTTCTGTGATTTTCTTTTCCAAATACCTAAAGAAACTGTTTAGAATCCCAACACATGCACATACCTAGATCCAGGTACCTTCTCTAAATGCAGTGGGTTCTATTTACAAACAAAATTCTATTAGAGGGGTATGCTGTAGAGATGTTAGGCTGTCAACAGCTGCTATTGGGAATTTGTGAAAAGCCAGTTACTTTCAGAGTGTTTAAATGAGTTACCAAAGGTATGACAGCCAAAAATGAATTCAGTAAACTAACTGATAACCTTTATCAATATTTTTAAGTCCAATCTATTAACTTCAAATTTAAGATTAAAATTTTCTAAAGACAGCTCTTAAACTAACATCCAGGAAATAATCATATTCTTACAACAGTGCAGCACTTTCGCTGCACTGCAGTGGTGTACTGCCCAGGCACAGCTTACACACAGATAATGGCTCAATGTTAGTGGGAGGAATGTCAATTGGTTCCATTAAGGTAGGGGTGTGTGAAAATGTGCAATGTCGGTCAACTTTGCCCCTTTATCAGAAATAAATAGTGACTCCACGCTTTGTCTTCATTCCATTGAGTTCTACAACCATTATCATAATACACTGCTCCAATTTTCCGGGGGGCATGGAATCATTACCTATACTCCCCACCACATATTTCCCTCACTCCCGTGATACTGGAGAGATTATTACACTGTTGAAAAAGGCATCCTGGAATTCTGGGGTCTCTACATTTGAGTTTTGGCACATTTAGAGAATTGCATCAAGATTTGGGCCACATCCATGATAGCTCATCGCTCAGGAGAAAGTGCAATGACCAAAATGATATCCAGCCTTGGGGCACCTCATCATTTTCTTTTCTCTTCTTTCATGGGAAGTATAACATGAGATTTGAACTCACAGAAGGCCCAAAGATCATGAAGCAGGGATTCTTTATTCCACTGGCATCAGGTTATTACAAACAGGAAGGGAAA